TTCGGGAGCATTCCAGATACGAGATGTGGGCCCGATAGGTAATCCAGACTCGTACTGTGGGCTCGGTGGCAATCCAAATGTGAGCTGTGGGCCCGGTAGGCAATCCAGACTCAAACTGTGGGCCCAGGGGTAATCCAGTCTGTAAAGCTGTGGACCCGTTACTTGCTGTTCAGTTTGTTATGATATGATATTGCTGACATGGTTCTATGGACTGTATGTGTATCAGTATTTTGGGGTAACTCACTAAGCTTTCGGGCTTACAGTTTCAGTTTATTGTTGCAGGTACATCATGGGATCGTGGCAAGGCAAAGGCGTGATCGTACAACTCCTCACTTTGTATGACTTTGTTTCTAGGATATTCTGATACGATACATTTTGAAAACAAGTTTGTAATAGTTAATGGATTTGAAATGTTTTTAAAAGTTTAAATTGGATTGAATTTTTGGGTTGTTACAAGTTGGTATCAGAGCCTTGGTTTGAGTGAATTGGAAGAAAATTCATGTGAATCCAGTCTCAAATCAAGGAATGATTTTCAAAAAGATTTTTTAAAAAGGTTTTCAAAATATCAAAGGAGGATGTAGGGTGTACGATCGGCCGGAGCCAGTAAGTAGATCCCAAAATATCATACAGTTATTTGATATTGCAATATGTTTGAACAGCATGCTAGTACTAGGCTAGAGATCTCATGAATTGCATGATAGAATTGCCTGACTACGTGATGCCTGCTAGCCTAGGGTTTTCTCTATATGGAATTGACATCATTACTGTAGTTGCTTAGTGTATGCATCACGACCGTACATAATTAAGATCTTATAGCCTGAGAATGTTTGGTTTTGCCTTATTTCCTGTTCTTGTTTGATGAAGGGATTAGAGAAGGATCGGGTATTCGAAAGTCTATAGGGTCCAGTGTTATGTATAGTTAGCATATACTAGTGATGTAGGGTTGGTGGAAGTTTCATGGATGGGTGGGTTGTGTGAGGCCGGTAGGCCAGTTATGAGATATTTAGCATTCCTCTAAGAGTGAGGATTGAGCGCTTGCTATGTTTATGTATATTGTTAGGGTGTTGTGGTGATAATTGAGATAAATATGGGTAGGTGTGGAAGGTAGTATAGGCCCGTACTACTGAAAGCACAGGACCCATACGCGTAGCAAGGAAGTCACAACCCCTAGGGTTGGTTGGGAATTGGTTCTTTGTCATTATATGGGTTATCAGAGATGGCGTATTATCCGAATGGTGGTTACGAGACGTCTTGAGACCAGATCCGGGTCAGGATCGGGAGCTGGCAGCCAGGATTGGTCAGTATTGTCAGAGGATCGTGTCAGTGAGATCATCCGGGAGGAGGTGATCGGGATTATCCGGGGACAGTTTTCCGGAGATATATGGGTCTATTAAGACCGCCATAGTTGAATGTTTCGACGAGCGCTAGGCAGCCATTGTCAAGACGGTTTCCGCGACAACTATAACAGCTGTAACGACGGCAGGGGAAGGAGCCGGTCGAGCATCTCAGTATCAAGACTTGTTATTAGGACGTATCTTGATGAGCAGAGAGCTGCAGTTACTTGGGATCAGGGAAATGTTTCGTACTCGTTGCACTCCGCGGGTTGAGCAGGAGAAGGTGGTGTGAGTTTCCTGGTTTGAGGCTTCGGGGGTCTTGTTCGAGGTCGGGATTCGAGTCGCAGGGACTCCGTAAGGGAGTGATGATTACGTTCAGCTGGGGTTTTGCAATTGGAAGTAGAATGGTTAATCGATGGGTAGTTGTTTTCTAGGGAAAGGATTGTGCCCTTTCAGCTTTTCGAGCTCGAAGGATTGAGTAGGTTTGTGGCCCGGGAGCAGGTTGTATTTCCAGATCGGGGTCAGTTAGTCGCCGGGATTGGCGACAGTAGTTCAGCGCTGGTCAGTGCGGGTGGGTCAATGTGACATAAGTATTTTGTGAGGTCCGGTTCGCCTTGGATCTCTTATCGGGTGGTAAGGATTAATTGTACAACCTAGTGCACTTTTGGGAATGGAGACTATGTCTTGGGGGCAGTTTGTAGCTCGATATAGGGCAGAGGTTGCTTCAGCTACTGCAGTTCAACTGTGGATGATCGAGCTGGTGAGTGAGTCAGGGTGCGAGACCCTAAATGATATTAATTCTAGAGCAGACGGCAGGAGATTTGTTGGAGCACCTTGGGAAGAAGGGTATTATATGGGAGGTCTGCGACAGGGTCCCACGGGATGGTTATTCAGCGTTGTCAGGATATAGTAATCCAGTAACTGCTATTGATTGGCGGAGGAAAGCGCCAAGGGAAGTAACCCGTTGCTGAGATGTCAGTTGGAGCATCTACCTTTTGGACTTCAGGATTTGAGTGGGGGATCATCCAAGTATTAGGGATTGTCGGTATCACGGGGATTCAGGAAGTGTTCAGCTAGTTCTTAGAAGTGTGTGATCACTTGTGATTGGCTAGTAATGGAGCACTAGTTGAAAGGAGTTGGTTGTCATCGGATCGTTCATTGGAAAATGAGAAGAATCGGGAATTCTCCAATTTTCATGTGTTGTGAAGACTTAGTCAAATCTAAGTGGGGGAAAATTATCCTGAGATTCAGAAACAGGAGCGGTTTTAAAAATGGGATAAGTTTCGCATCGTTGTCAGAAAGGAAGACAACCCAAGTGGCTGTTTGGTTTGAGGTTTGTGTGAGTGAGGAGTTTGGTAAAACTCCCCAGTGTGTGAATCGCGCCATCTCGGTGCTTGACAGCAGAATTGGGAATTTTCAGGTTGAACGTCAGCCATTGAAAGTTTGTCTGTTGCTGTTCAGATTGTGGTTTCAAGAAGGGTCGGACAGGAGTTAATCGGTGAACCTCCCAGAAAGCGGGAAATTCTCCGAAGGAAATTCAAGAGGCGACAGTTGAGAAGCTAGGAACGCGTCATCAATTTCCTTGTGCAGTGTGCTTACATTTCCTAAGTCTTTGGGGTATGTTTCCCCTCAATAGTGGAATAGACTTTTGATTCATATCGGACATGGATTTCGGTAACCTTGGGAATAATTGTGGAAGTTTTCTTGGACTAGTTTTGGTATTAGTAGAATCGGACCAGTCTCGATCCAGTATGGGCTGTGTGGCAAGTAAATGTGGAGTTAGGGATTCCCAATTATGTACATGGTAGTGATTCTTCATGTGCAACGGCGGGTATTCAAGGTGGCAATAGGGTTGGTTCGGCTTACGTGCTTGATCAGGTTTGGGATGTAGTTTGCAATCAGATTCAGAGTTCGGCTATCATTCTATTCTAGGTTCATGTGCGACCCAGGGTTGGTAGGATTTTGTTTGGATAGTAACTTATTATATAAGTGAATCGTGCATGGTGGGGTTTCAGCATTGTGGCGCTGGTTGGTGTTGTAAAGGACGTTGGTTAGGCCTTTTCTTTTGGATAAGGTTGATAGTTTATCAGGAGCGTTCCAGTCATGAGCTGAGGGCCAGGTAGGGCATACCAGACTCATGCTGTGGGCTCAGAGGCAATCCAGACCTATGCTGAGGGCCTTGTAGGGGTATTCCAGGCATAGGCTGTGGGCCTAGTGATCTTAGTAGTCTATTTCTTCTGTTTGAGCGCTTTCGGAATAGACATATTGTTGAGATTTGGGCAAGCCGTAAGCGGCCAGGAGGAATCAAAAGATTTTGTGAGAAATACAAGGGTAGGTCCTTGAACTTCAAGTTATGAGTTTAGACCCGAGTTTCGTATATAGTGGTATTTTGATCTAGGGTATTCCATCCCGAGGATGACCGGACCCTATGATTGATTGGACATGGCGTGTTGGTATTCCAACCCAAGGGTTGATTGGGCCAAACATGCGTAGGATACGAGGGTATTCTATCCCGAGGATGACTGGACCCGTCGTAGGCATGCCTAGTATTCCAGCCCGAGGCTGATTGGGCCAGGTATGAGTATTTGTGCTTATGAGCCGGTTATTATATGTATGTGGTTCGAGAACTAAAGGATCATAGTTAGCAGTGTGGGATTTGTGATTCTGTTTTCTAGCGGGAACCTCAGCTTATCAGAAGTTGAGTAGCTAGTTGGGAGTTAAGTGCAATGCATTCGACAATGATCCAGTGTGGGCAGTCTTTCAGGGAGCCAGACCATCTCGAGACTTCAGATTACGGATTGAGTAAATGTGATCATATTGGAAGAGATTCGTTTATTTTCAGGTTTTGGAACCCTGCGAGGGTTGGTTATGGTTGCCTTGGAAAAGCTAGGGTTATGCTCGGGGTTGTGGTTCAAGTTGTTTGGCGTGTAAGGAATGAGAAGAAATGATTTCGAGGCCGAAATCAAATTTAAGTGGGGGAGAGTTGTAACATCCTGTTTAAAGTAGAATAATTAAATAATAAGTCGGAACCCCTAGAAGTAATTTTTATTATTGTTTTATGTTATTATAGCCCAAAATCAAATAATAATTAGTGGGGTGTTGGTTTCGGGAAGCCAAATGACGAGATTTGAATATCTGGGGGTTAAAGAGGAAGTTCCGGATTTAATTTGAAGAGATTTTGGAAGTCATGGTGTGTTTGGTAATTAATGGACTTAAATTGAAATGAATTAAAGGCTTAGGGGGCTGATTGGTAATTTCGGGACTTGAATTGTACGGATTTTCTGAAGGAGGGGGTTAAATGATAAATATTGGATTTATTTTGAAAGAAGTATGTGAAGGAGGGGCCATTTTGGTCGTTATGGGATACATTTCATATGGGGCTCGGGGTATTTAACTGTGTTATACTCGTCACCCTCAAAACCCTAACCCTAAATAGTTGGATGCAACCGTCCCCTCCCTCACCTACTAGCCTCAGCCGCCACCTCGTCGTCTGCCGTTTTGCCATCGGAACACCACCAACACTACGTTGTCGGACGTCGTACGTAGCCGCAGAGAAACCATCGTGAGCAGTCGAAGGTAGCTGCACCGGTTAGGGATCAGAGAACCGTTGTTGTAATCGTCGCCGCTACTCCGAAGGGTCGCTGACAGTCGCTGCCAAACGCTAGGCTAGCCGCTGCCGCCATTTCTGACGTTGCTAGAGACCAAGACCGGCGGTGGGACGTCGTGTAGTCGGATATGAAGGAAAGCAACGAGACCAAGGTGAGCCACCGCTGAGACGCTGTTGCTGCCCGCTCTCCTGTCACCATCTCTATCCCCTCTTCTTTCGTTGCCGCTGCTATTATTACCTCTAGACGCCACGGTTGCTGCTAGTGCTGCTGCGTCCCGACGCCATCCGCCGCCAATGACCGCTACTGCTGCCGTTTTCTTGGGCTTCTACCGTCGCCACCCACCACAGGTGGGTGTTGGATTTATTTTCCTAAGAAAATAGGGTGGGTGTGCGGTTTGTGTTGCTCGTGTTCGGGTGCTGTGATGGTATTAGGCTGCCGGAGTGTCCATTGGCTGGAGATCCGAAGAAAAAAACCTCACTGCCACCTCCGACCACCACCTGCCGCCTCAGTGCGGCGGTGTGTGTGTGTGTGTGTGTGTGTGTTATTTACGTGAGTGTATGTGTTTGTGTAGTTTTGGTAAAAGTGTAATAGTGTCGGTAATCAATAGAAAACTTGAAAGCACCACCGTGAGGTGGTGGCTGCCGCCTCCTGCCGCCACCGGCCGCCGTGTCGGGTGGCGGTGTGCTTGCTTTGTTGTGTTTGACTCGTTTGGGGGATGCTTGGTCAAAGTGGGCCCAATGAAGCCCTAATGGGCCCAAGAAACCCTACTGACCTAATAAAATCCTAATGGGCCCAATAAGGCCCAAAGCGACCTAAAAGCCCAACCAATGGACTAATGGGCTAGTATTGGGTTGGTAAACCCTAATTAGGGTTTGGAAAACCCTAAGAGCATAAAACCCTAATTGTGGGAATTGTTTGGGACACACACGAGAATTAATTATTAAACTTAAAATAATAATTAATAATCATTGGCAAACTAACTTACCAATAATGGACTTTATGGATTAAGTCCTTAAGGGGTTAAGTAAGAAACACTTAACCCTAAGCATCATTTCAGGTGAAAGCCCTAATCTCACTCGGGACTTGAATTGGGCCTTCCTATTGGGCTTTGGCGATTGGACTATTGATGGGCCATCCAAGAACAAGTTAATAGACCAAAGTAATTAGATGGGCTTTAGGATAAGGCCCGTGTGAGGACTTGGGCCTAATTTGGAAAATTGGGCCATAATTGGGCCTTTATGATTATGTGATAATGGGCCATGGGAATTGGATTGGAGTAATTGGATAGGCCTTAAGGAAAGACCATGTAGAGGTCTGGGCCCAATTTGGAAGATTGGGCCAAATGTTGGGCTTTGGCCCATTATTTGACTTTTGGGCTTTTGTAGTGTGAGTTGGACCTTGGGCTTCGAACCCAAGTATTAATTGGGTATTGTTTGATGTTGACAGTTTGGGATTCTGTCAACCAGCAGCTGGAGTTGTATCTGCGGGACTTCAGCAGTGCCAGGTGAGTTATCCTCACTATACTAAGGGGTCTAAGGCACCAAGGCCGGCCTATTGGATATGTTCTCCTAGCAGTGTTAGATGTTGAGTATGAATTAGTGATGCATGCTAGTGGTTATGCCAGTTAGGTAGATCGGTAGGACTACTTGTGTTGTTATATGATTATCTGCATGCTTAGTAGTTATGTTATATGTTGATATGTTATGTGGGATGTGTTGAGGTTGTACTGCTCCGTGCGGTAGCCAACAAACCCTAAGAGCATTGCAGATACGAGCTGTGGGCCCGGTAGGCAATCCAGACTCGTACTGTGGGCTCGGGAGCATTCCAGATACGAGATGTGGGCTCGATAGGCAATCCAGACTCGTATTGTGGGCCCGGTGGCAATCCAGACTCACACTGTGGGCCCAGGGGTAATCCAGCCTATAAAGCTGTGGACCCGTTATATGCTGTTCAGTTTGTTATGATATGATATTGCTGACATGGTTATGTGGACTGTATGTGTATCGGTATTTTGGGGTAACTCACTAAGCTTTCAGGCTTACAGTTTTAGTTTATTGTTGCAGGTACATCATGGGATCGTGGCAAGGCAAATGTGTGATCGTACAACTCCTCATTTTTTATGACTTTGTTTCTGGGATACTCTGATACGATACATTTTGAAAACAAGTTTGTAATAGTTAATGGATTTGAAATGTTTTTAAAAGTTTAAATTGGCTTGAATTTTTCGTGTGTTACAATTTTAGACAATACAAACACATATTTTGGTTAGATATTAAATTAGATATAGACCCCGAAAAGACAGAATACCAATGTTGTGTATTTTGTATTTCTAGCATCTTTTTTTTTTTTTAATGTCCCATTTTTTTTAAATGTGCATAAATTACTCATATGAAGTTATAATTACTTATTTTTTTTTCTAGAATTTAATTTGGTGTGTGTACTTCATTTTATTTTACACTAGTACAAAACGTATTTTTTGGTGCGATGAGTTTTTTTGTTGGTGCGGTGGTTGCCTAAAACCGCACCATTAAAACACTTTTGCATCAATAAATCAATGAACCGCACTAACAAATGCATTTTTTGATGCTGTTTTCGTAAAACGCACTAATAAATTCATTTTTTGATGCTGTTTTCTAAAATCGCACTAATAAATGTATTTTTTGATGCCATTTTCCAAAACCACAGTATTAATAAATGCATTTTTGATGCGGTTTTCCAAAACCGCACTAATAAATGTATTTTTGGTGCGGTTTTCCAATAATCGCACCAATAAATGTGTTATTTCATTCAAATTTTTCATTGGGCGCAAGATCCTTTAAATTTTTAGGGATCCCTCATATTTATTTTATTCAAGTTTTTGTTTCCCTCCCACTTATTTCGTCTCCCACATTCCTCCCTCCCAAATAGAGACCTTCTTCACGCCCATAATCTATGATCTTTGTAACTTTTTTCTTTTCCGCGTGCTATTCAGTTTCTACCTTTATTAATTTCACATGTTCTAAAACTTGTTTGTGTTGTATCTTCTTATTATTACAGGTTAGACAAATATTTATGATCTTGAAGGCAATGAAATATCATTACCACTTTCTCAATGCTTTAAAATCACGATTTCATGCTCCATTGTAAGATTAACATCTAACAAAATTTAAACCTTATTTATTCGAGTCTGTTTATCATATGTTAATCAAAAGGAATAATCATCGTCATCTTCTATCCACAGGCTCAACCTGAGACACTCAAAATAGTTCACGCCACCATTGCTAATCGGTTGTCGATTGATGAGAGCACAAACGTCCCTGCAACCAAATTTGCCGATTTTGGTGTTGATTCTCTTGACAGTGTAAGTTTTGTTTTTGATTTGAAACGAATCAAAACTCAAACCACTAGTCATCGATCATTATAATAACTCAATACATATCATTGAATCAATTATAGGCCTGAGAAGACAACATATTAATGTTGTGATTTTTCCGTTTCGGCATTTTGTTTTTTTAGAATCTATCTCGCTTTTTAAAATACGCATAACTCAGTCATATAAGGTCGGAATTACTTAATTTTTTTTTCAGAATGTAATTTAATATTTGTACATCATTTTAGAATGTAAAAAGTCATATTTTTGTTAAAATATTAGACAATCTACAGCCAACATAGCTTCTACAACATATCAACTTTAAAAAAACTAACTGAAAAATCAGGACCGGAACCGAAACCGACATTGACACCGGCGGTCCGGTTCTAAAGCTCATTCGTATAATCTAGTGTTGTCATTGTTATTCTTTCCTTTTTGTTATATTTCAAATATGTTCAAAAATATTTAATTATTAATTGCGATAGTAAGTTATTTAAAGAAATAAATAGCGACAGAAGAATTTGTAAACCAACAACTACAAGTGTATATTATGGGAACTTCTTTTTCATTCACATATCGAAATTGCAAGCATGAAATTTTTCCAAAGAAACCAAGAAAAACCGAGTACAAGTTCAAGATTACATAAGATTATTTTACAATTCTTAATTTTACCCTGCCCTCCACAATTCTTGAAATGGCCCTCACAATAAGGATGTTACATCCTCGACCTTTAAGCAAAAGAACATGAAATACAAACCCAAAAGAAAGTGAATAGGACAAGAATATACTTAAGCATAGTCTCCTGAGGCTGGAAGTGCCTCATACGATCCAATGAAAACATCACCATAGATTAATCCAGCCAACCCAGCACCAATAAGTGGGCCGACCCAGTAAATCCAGTTTTGTGAAAAGTCACCACTAACGACAGCTGGGCCGAATGACCGAGCTGGGTTCATTGAGCCACCACTGAAAGCTCCAGCAGCCAAAATGTTGGCTCCAACAATGAAACCGATTGCGATGGGTGCAATGGTTCCGAGTGATCCTTTTTTAGGGTCAGCAGCGGTGGCATAGACTGTGTAGACTAGAGCAAAAGTTATGATAATCTCAAACACGACTCCTTGAATACTGCTCATGCCACTAGCAACTCCGTGGGTTGGAACGGCCTGTCAAATTCCAAATATGTAAATACAAATCCAAGGTTTTGAATCAGAAGTTGTTTTAGCACCGAAGATATGATATATGAAAACTTACCAAGCCACCGGTGACAAATTGTAGGAGGAAACATGCAACGACGGATCCAAGAAGTTGGGCAATCCAGTAAAATAGACCGGTTATGATGGTGATGTTACCACCAATAGCCAATCCGAAGGTGACAGCTGGATTCAAATGGCCACCGGAGATGTTGGCAGCTATTGAGACTCCAACAAAGAGCGCAAATGCATGGGCTATGGCCACTGCAACTAGTCCAGCTGGGTCTAGTGCTGCATCTGCTGTGAGCTTACCTGAAAAGTTTATAAAATTCCGTTATACGTTAGATTGTAATGAAAAGAATGCATGGTTTCATTTTATATGGTTTAAGAAAAAAATGTAACATACCATAAGCAATAGCTGATCCGACACCTGCAAAGACGAAAAGAAGGGTGGCAATGAACTCAGCCAAGTAAGACTTGACTGAACCTGCGCTAAAAGAGTCACCAATGCTACCAATTGCCAACTTCACCATATTTAGAGCTCTTTGAAGCTAAAAGTCAAAAGATGAGATGGCTGACTTGTTAAAAGTGTGATTTATGAATGGTTTCAACAAAGTGTTATATAGTGCTTAATTTCAGAATATTATAATAAATATAATTGTTTAAGTTTTAAAGTGAGGTTGATTAAACATTTAAACATGCGGCTAAGAAGCTCCTATGTATAGAGAATTTGTGCTGGCACCGACCGTGGGTCCATGATGGCTCAGTCCTGGCCATTGATTGGTGCCGCCACCACCGGCCATGATTTTTAAAATGTTTGTTTGTTAATGAATGGGAAGTGGAGGCATCATTTACAACTAAACTTGTATTTACGAAATAGTAAGTGGATTATTTAAGATTATCATAACAAAATTGGAAAAACGATAAATAGATAATGTTTTAAAGTTGTTTTAAGTCGAAACGAATAATTTCTTGTCCTTACCAATAAGGGTTGAATAAGAAGCTTGTTTATTTTGTCTATTACAACAAAAGTAATGTGTTATATATAGTATAAAGCTATGTTATTTATGAAAGCATTTTCAATTTTGGATAAAACAGTTCTACAAATTGTATAAATCAAAAACATTTTTTGATTTTTGACAAGTTTGATTTATTTTTAACTGATATTTTTTTTTATTTAATCGGTTTGACATAAAAATAAAATAGATATTATTTAGAGTTAAACATATCAAACACGTTAAATTAATAACTTAACTTAATAATAATTCAATTTTGTTGAATAAATCCACATAAAAACCTTTTATGTCTCAATTTATTTTGTTTGATTTTAGACCTTTCTAAGTTTTCCTATTTTAATGTAAGCCCAACAAAATAAAGATATTTGCTTATAAAAAGATTGTCATGAGTTTTTGTTTTCCATGAATTAATTTAATAACATGAAAATCCAAATGATTGAGTGGAGGAATCATGTTTATTTAAAAAAAAGGTTTTGAAATTTAAAAATAGCATAAAACAATAATTTAGTGAGTTTACTTAATTTGATAATGGGCAATTATGATGCATTTTTTATTTAAAATTGGAGCAAGTAATCAAGGATTGGCTGTCATGTTTAAAGTAAAGTATATGGGGACAAGATGATTAGTATTTTAAAATGTTAGCGATCATCTTTTGCATGAAATCCGGTTTGTATCGAAGCAGATAATTTAATGGTTAGATTGGATTGAATTGAATAAAAATAAGATGTCATGATTAGTAAATATGGTGTAATGGAGGAAACTTTTATACCGAACAAGTCAAAAACGATTAAACTCTAAGTTGATGGGTTAACTGATAATTATAAGTTATTTTTTAAGTTATGATAAATTATTTTATTGTTTTATTGAATGCTAAATTACGGGAAGTTAGTTTATAGATTATTTACTTTTACCAAACGTTCTAAATGTATTCGGGTTGGGAGGCGGGAGATGATTATGTTTTTTTTTAATTAATAAAAATCTTAAACAAACAACACAATTATGTTTATGAAAAGAAATATAGTACTTTGATCCATATAAAATTAAATTACAAACACCACTAAGGAAAAAGACAATCAGCGGCCACTCCAAAGGGTTTAATTTCATTGTCGCCGGTAATAAGTTGCCGCCACTGCTCCGTCGCTATTGATCAATTTGTCACCGTTAAAGAAAATAGTCGCCGCTAATGCTTGTGTCGCCGTTAAAGAGTATAGTCGCCGGTAATAACAATTTTTATTTTTTAATATTTTTTTAATCAACGATTTTGGTTGCCGTAATAGTGTCGCCGGTAATTACATAAAACAACAACAAAATTTACAATTCTAACAAGTAGAAAAGCGTGACAACAAGTGTAATATACAAATAAATCTCCTCCCTACATACCATCATCTTCGTTCTCGTTTCCTCGATTATTCTGTGATTGAAAAAACAAATAAAGCTCATCCCTACATGTCGGGTCGTTGAGTATTTCCCGAAGATTTTCCAACTACAAAATAAATAACAACATATAATATATAAACTTATAAGTTAAATTATCAAACATAAACAAAAACTATCAAATTGCTATTTTTAAATTAAGACAAAAAGCCAAAGTACATTGCTATTTCTTGCACTTGGGACAAAAAAACCAATAACCAATGCTTTTAGCAAATAATCACCACAAAACCAAAATTACCAAATCAACATGCATTTTATGATGCCAAAGTAGATTGCTATTTTTAAACTAAGACAAAAAAACCAAAGTATATTGCTATTTCTTGCACTTTGGACACCCATTTACCAATGCTTTTAGCAAATAATCACCACAAAACCAAAATTACCAAATCAACATGCATTTTATGATGCCAAAGTAGATTGCTATTTTTAAACTAAGACAAAAAACCAAGGTACATTGTTATTTCTTGCACTTGGGACAAAAACCCAATTACCAATGCTTTTAGCAAATAATCACCACAAAAAACCAAAGTAGATTGTTTTACCTGTGATGGTTGTGGTGATGGTTGCGATGGTTGTGAAATCGGTGGGAGAGCAGAAGGTTTACGGCCGATGCCTCTGATATGGCCACGTCGCTTTCCTAATACTTTCTCAAAAGCAGTTCTTTCTTGAGCGGGTGATAACTCACTTTCACCTTGGGTTTGTTCTAAGAGCTCTTCGACTAATCGATTCTGTAATTTCCAAAAGTGAGTAACAATTAAGTATAAATAAACACATAATTATATGATAAAACTATAATTAAATACTTACATATTATTGTTCTGCCTCGGTAGTAACAAATACACCATCTCTATCGATATGAGCCTTGCGAAACGTTTCCACTCTCTTAAGGTTCTGCTTAACATTAAAAATTAAATTATATTTTAAATAAATAATTACATGTATCGTACGTTACCTTCTTATAGCAAGTACTGTTATACGAGCTCGACCCCCCATGATTCACGTTCGTTTGCATTTGACATACTTTTTTGTTCTTGTCTGAAGCAATTCTGTGTTCGTCCGTTTGGAAATACTCAACTGCTTTCTTCCAGTTATCAACATACATACCCTCTGGAGGGTTGGCAAATGCTCTCGGGATATCATCATACCCTCCGACTGCCAAAAAATATTATTTTGCGTCAGCTTTACGGTCTCGATAACATTTTAACAAAGCTGCTTGAAAAATCTCTGTCAACATATTAGCTTGTACATCCTGGTAAATCCGATCCAAATCAAACTTTGTCTACAAAAAAAAAGTTAACCAAGTAAAAACCAGTCATAATTAACCATATAAAATATTTTTAAATAGATAATTACCCCTTAATGTTGTATTACGGTGTCCTTTATTGTAGAGAAAACTTTTTTTGCAAGTCCATTTATCAAAAGGGACCATATGCCACATTGTTTTTCCAACTTCTCGTGAAAAGATGTCTTTCAGCTCTCCTACGGGATCATATGTTATATCCCTATCATAATCCATGGTAATCGGTTTGCCCTTATTCTGTAAGAGCGCTCTTTCAAGCTTTATATTTTTGGCTTTGCCTCGGACTTTCCTACGTGCACGTTGCTCAACTACAAATATAATTAAAAATTATTAGAAACGGTATTTAATTTATAATAACTGAATAAAAATTCATAATAAAACTTACGGTCCTGCTCATGATGACCAACACCTCTACCACCTGGGAAAGGTGGGTCCTCAACTCCATCACCCCCCATATCCACGACCCATAACAGCAGCCATGGTATACACAAACAAAAGCCATATTGACATCATTTCCAGAAAAATTATAAGATATATAGATACAATTCTTATTACAAATACACATTACATAGAAATAAACATTTACATAGGAATAAACATTTCTATTTAAACTAGGAATCCAAATAAAGTTCATATTACAAACAAGTATTACATAAGAACTATTCTAATCAAAATCTTCCTCATATCATTCAGTGTGTTCTTCGGTATCATAATCATAATCGGTCTCATCGTAATCAGTCTCGCAATCAGAAACATCATTGACTCTACTAGTTGGTGGAGGAACTTCGGTTGCACTTTCTACATTAACAATGACTCTAGGAATGTTTTGAAAGTACATGCTGAAATCGATAAAAAGTGGAGCATCGGATGAAGAGATATTTTGAAGTACGTCGACATTGTCTACATTTTCGTGTGAGCCATTGTCAACATTTTGGATAGAGTCATTGTAAACAAGTTGGACACGATCATCGTTCGATGGTAGATCCCAAATACTTCGATGATTAACATGCTCGACAACACACTAATGGTTATTGTTTGGCTCTCTGATGTAGAACACGTGTTTGGCTTGTGAAGCATATATGAGTTGATCATCTTTGTATGCTTCGCGTCGTGTGTCGATACTGGTGAAATTATCACTAGAAATAACTCTTGTTCGAGTATCAAACCACTTGCAACGAAATAGTACAGTTGAATAATCATGCGTATACCTCAACTGCATAATCTCTTCTAACTGGCCATAGTATTTCTCGCCTTTCTCACCCACCGCTAAAACCCCAGAGTTTTGTGTTGTGCGTTGTGCATCACGACTAAGTACCATAAACCTAACACTGTTGACTATGCATGCGGTGTAAGAATAATCATTCATTTGCGGACCCATTCCAAGAGCCGACAACTCTTTATGGAATTCTGGAGAGTTTTCTATTTTCATTTGATGAACCTAGCAAATATAAAGTAATATGTAATATGTATTCTTTAGATCAATGAAACAATTTTGTTTATGAATTTATGTTACCTTTTCACGAAACCAATTACGAAATTCTCTATTTTCATCACTCTGGGGATGTTCGGATTTGAATTTCCTACGTTGATGACAAAAAGATATAGATTTAAGAAAAAAAAAATTTAAGGATGAAAGTTATAGATAAGAATAGTTACTTGATATACTGTGTGACTTCTTCACGGCTATTCAATACAAACTATTCCATGTTATGCATTTCCGTTAAATTAAGAGTTTTGATTTGAGTTGTGCTAGTAGGTCGACATTTGGACTCAAACATCCAAAACTTTGTTTTTTCAATGACAACATCTTAATTTCTTTCCGGACGATTGAATTTATTATTTACATCTCGAAGGTA